CGTTGTTATAGCCTTTGTTTTAGCGCGATTGTTGAAATTAAATGTGTCGTAAAGTTATATTCGGAAAGAATAAACCAGTTTTATTAAGAAAAGACTTGTGTCGCTAAAGTTTCGTCGGAACGAATTTACGGGAAATCAATTAACAAACGGAGACGTAACAGTATTTTTCTCAATGATACCAATCCTATCGACGTATGACTGCTTTTATTACTAATTATGTAAATAGTTAGCTTTTATCTCTAAACAATACTCAAAAAATGAAGAAAAAAAAACTGTGGTGTACAACTCCTACGAAGACGTAAACAAAATAGAAAATATAGAAAATCCTAATAGCAATATATGTGTAGCTTTGTTACAGAGTCAGTATACATTCAAGTACCAGAAACAAGCCATTGAAATTGCACTGAATATAAACGATGATGAAAACAAAGATGTAAAAATATATTTAGAAGATATAAAACTACTATTGGAACTAGGAACTACTGGAAAAGAAGCTTCTATGAACAGAGAGAAAGTTTAGGTATTATCTCCAGTATTAACAACACTATTAGTTATCAGTACAGAGAAAAAGACCATTAATACAAAAAATTTCACCCCTTTTTCTGGTGGAGGTATATAGATGATATCCTATGCGGCTTTAAGGGAAGAACAAGAAATTATGTGATTTTTGAACACATTAACAAATAACTTAAAGACATAAAATTTACAACAGAAAAGGCAAAAATAGTTGATCTACTTCATTTATATAAAGAAAGCGCACTACCGAACTTTTGTAAACTCACGAGAGTTACCTCACACGAGAAAAAGTAAAAATCGTAACATTAAAGTGTATAACAATGGCACTGAGACTATACACCAATGAAAACATGCAAAATGAAATTCAAAACTTAAAAGAATGCTTTAAAACAACAAGTCAGTACCCTCCATACATAATTGATGACACAATTAAAACGAATAAACCAAGAAAAAGTGAACCAAAAACAAGAACAAGATAAGAGACCAAAATACTCAAGAAGAACAAGAACCAAATGTGGATTAGTACCATTTGTAGGTGTTATTAGTGAACATTTATTAGCTTATGGTAGAAATTAAACATAAAAAGTAAGATAGTAGCTAAACCAGGAACCATAATTAAAGGGTTTTTACCGAAGTTAGATATTAGTGAAAAATATGGTGACGGCATAGTGTATAAAATAGAATGTTAAGACTGAAAATGTTTCTATATGGTAGAAACATTAGGAAAATAACGAATAGAGTCAAGGAACAACAACAACAAGAAAGAAAAAAAAACAAAAATATTCAAGCGTAAATGGGCCCGGCATGGCCAGGTGGTTAGGGCGCTTGACTCACAATCTGAGGGTCTCGGGTTCATCCCCGTCACACCAAACATGCTCGCCCTTTCAGCCGTGGGGGCTTTATAATGTGACGGTCAATCCCACTATTCGTTGGTAAAAGAGTAGCCCAAGAGTTGGCGGTGGGCGGTGATGACTAACTGCTTTCCCTCTAGTCTTACACTAAATTAGGGACGGCTAGCGCAGATAGCCCTCGTGTAGCTTTGCACGAAATTCAAAAACAAACCAATCAAGCGTAAATGAACGTATGGTTGAAAAACAAAATAATTTTCAAGAAATGTAAAAATATTGCATGTAGACAAAACATTAGGAGCACCATTATATTTATATTAAGTTACTTTCATGAAAAACACAGATGTAGCTAGGATAATTTTAAATACAACTATTTGATTGAATGTATATGTAATTTGAACGTTGTGTGTGATCATATCTCACTGTCAGATACGAAACGTTGTATTCAAATAAATCTACTGTCCAACCAATAGCTGCTTCAAAAACGATATATATATATATATAATTCCTATAATGCTTAATAATCATCACACATTACGACGTGTACTGTTTATTGTATTTCAGAATTTAAGAACGTTGTATTATTATCTTATATATATATATATATCTTATAAATCTCTGTGTCTGTCTATTTGTCCGTTATATAATGTGGGATGATAGTTTGGAACAAGGGGCATGTTAATGGGGAGCTCACAACCTCTCCGCCCCATTATTGCTGTTATTGAACATTTATTATCTTTGACGTAAGTTAACGTTAACTACGTTCATAGATAGCGCCACGTTCTAACACCGAAAAAATAAAACTTTATTGACTTTTCTATAACAACATAACACAGTGTGGGGGAGGGCACAATAACGTCTTATATATCTTAGAGAGTGCGCTAGCACTCTCTGTGCACGAATCAATGTAAAAAATATGGCCACCGTTATTGCAATAATACATAAACTCAGCTGAAGTTTCTTCTCCAACAGCCGTTTCTTCCTACTTTGATCCGTGACCTTTCAACTTCAGCCCGTAAGACACTTCTGCGGCCAATGACCAACAATTAATTAATCACATGAAACACTGTTGAAGGACATTAAGAGCTGGGTATTGAAGGTGGGTAACAGAAAGTACACCTACCGCCATTAATTTAGCCGCTACCTCTTCCTGCAAAGTCACCCTGACCATCGCACAGTGTATACCGTGTTTTAACTATATACTTTGTTTGTTTGTAATTAAGCACAAAGCTACACGGTGGGCTATCTGTGCTCTGCCCATCACTGGTATCGAAACCCGGATTCTAGCGTTATAAGTCCGCAGACATACCGCTGTGCCACTGGGGGGCAACTATATACATAGTGAGTTCTTAAAGCTTGTACAAAACCTTTGGTGAGTTAATAAGGAATAATGTAACAAATTGTTGTCTTATAAATAAATTGTATGAAAGTTAGGATTTTTGTGTTATTTATCATACCATCCACATTCACAATTTTTAAAGTTAATAACCCGGACAAAGGACTGGTACCTCAGCTTGTAGCAGGAATAAAAAGTAACATAATAATTTGAATGTGTTCGTAAATGATCTACCTGTTTGTTACTCAGTTAATATTTACTTATTATATATTTTAAGAATTTTTCTCTTTCTATGGGCCATAGTCCTAAACTGAAATTACCAAATGATTTCATTCGCCACGCCCACCAAATTGTTTGTAATAGTCGGTATTTTTTTTATTTCAAGTAAGTTACATTTTTGGGTAATTAATATTATACATTTGTATATAACTTATATATGTACATATTCACAATTCAAACTACGTGTAGCATGTAAATAATGATACAGAGTTTATTACCCAGTTATGTTTTTTATAATAGAGTCGGTGTACCATATGTAGGGATGGCCAAGGTACTCAATAGGCATATTACAAGTAAGTATGTACGCTGAAACAAAATCAACAGTGACAGATACTTCTACTTTAAAAGATTATTGCCACTCACTTTCATTTGTTTCTCTACCCAACAAACCCCAAAACAAGGCAAGAAGCCAAACCAGAAAGTGACTAACTCACCAAATTGTTCATCTTTCTTCTTCTTGTTTCAGTCGAGATAACTATTATTAAAGTCAGTTTAAACCCAAATCCACTCTATGTCATAATTCTAGTGTAAACGATGTTATCATTACCCCCTTGAAGTTAGCTTTTTTTTTACAAAAAACCTGGTGTTCTTTTAAAATGTTTAAGTACAGGGTGAGGCAGTATTTACCAGCCTGTAGTAGGTGAACATTTAGATGACTGTAACGTGTGGAATACTCAATGCTTTGTACACTATACAATCGGTGTCTGTAGGGGGTCAACACTTATATTATGTATGAAGTGAAGGAGTAAAATAAAATAAATAACATAATTCGAAATTTTAGTCAGGGGTAAAAACATCATAAAACAAGTATTAAAAACATTTTGTAAATACAGCTACACATAGATCATCCCTACATGACTTTCAATATTATAATTTAATGTTACACGTAAAATGCATACTTGACTTTATATTACTACAGTTGGAAGTTATATATATATTCCTGACTGTTGGTATGTAGTATGTTTATCATAATATTATGGTTATGTCAGGGTAGGCATCAATGTAGTGTAACTAAGATCCTAGGTCTTACGTACAAGAAAAACCAAGTTGAGTCAAAACATGTCTTGATTATTACAGACTCGAGTTTACCGACCTCGTTTTGTACTCGTGCATTTTACATAGTGAGTTCTTAAAGCTTATACAAAACTTTGAATGAGGTAATAATGAATACTGTAATAATATTCCTGTTTGCATTCTTTTTGGCACTGCCATCCCTACATCATTTTACATTTACAAAATGTTCTTCATTAGTTGTTATTAATGTTTAGGCTTACTTGTAAAGTGTCAATAATGTCTGCTATCCTGATCCATAACTTGCCTTTTGTACAGTATCTAGCGGTGCTCGTGTATATCTTCGAAAACGTTTTGCAACATGTCAGGTTCTACTTATTTGTTAAATATAGGGCTTGATATATTTCTGATTGGTATGATAGTTCGTTTCTTAGTATCCTAGTGCAACGGAAATCTGTGCCTTGAATTCCTACAGGGAAATGAAAATGAGACTTAGCCCATTTTCTGGAATATTGGTGGTTGAAGTCTTTTCACCTTCTATGTACTGATAAAGTTGGCCATTTCCAGTTTAATGTGCATGTAACCACCTATATTGTCCCCCAATGAGTCAGCGTAACCTTACGGATTTCCAGCATTAAAATACAAGGCTCGATTCTCCATGGTGGACAGAGAACGCTTTGTATAGCTTTGTGTTGAAGCAAACAAACAGAACCATATATATATATTAGCCAGATAAATTCTTTAAACTTATTTATTCATATATGTGCAATACAAAACTTAAAACATTTTTGATGATGAGATTAGTATTAAGAAGGTGCTTCTGCTTATTTGTTGCTCAACGCTGCCAGTATAGCTTAGTTTGGCGCCAATTCTACCTGAGTTAGATAGAACATTGCATCAGTAAGAAAATTGTTTGTTTGGTGAATTTTCGCCCAAACCTACTAGAGGGCTAGCTGTTTCTAATGTTGAGGTGATAGACTGAAAGGATTGCACCTAGTCAAGTCTTGGGCTACTCTTTACCAACGAATAGTAGGATTGACCGTCATATTAAACAATTCTTATGCATACATTTGGTATACTAGAGAAGTACGTTTTACGTGACTGTATTTATAGATAGGACGTTTATTAGAACAAATAATGTGCGACGCAGTTAGTTTAACCTTTGAACTTAAGAACCGAGTGAAAAACAGAAACAAAGTAGTAATGTACAAAACTTCATGGTTGTAATTTTGATTTTTGTCTTTTTGTCATCAAATACAAATCGATTCGCTTCTACGTCGTTTTACGTTTACATTTTACGTCAGTTTCCATTTTGAAAATCAGTTTTATTTATCATATATTTTGCGAAATCTGTTCATTGCAAACATTGAATAAAATATAACTGTTGTTAATCCTTATTTGGGATTACAAAATTGTGCTAAAACGTGTCCGAGATAAGAATATTGATATTTGATGTTATTGAAAAAGTTGAATCCAATATGTTTTTGAAGATTAATTTTCGTATACCTTTCAAGGTGACCAGTGATATACAATATGTTTTTGAAGATTAATTTTCGTATACCTTTCAAGGTGACCAGTGATATACAATATGTTTTGAAGATTAATTTTCGTATACCTTTCAAGGTGACTAGTGATATACAATATGTTTTGAAGATTAATTTTCGTATACCTTTCAAGGTGACCAGTGATATACAATATGTGTTTGAAGATTAATTTTCGTATACCTTTCAAGGTGACCAGTGATATACAATATGTTTTGAAGATTAGTTTTCGTATACCTTTCAAGGTGACCAGTGATATACAATATGTTTTGAAGATTAATTTTCGTATACCTTTCAAGGTGACCAGTGATATACAATATGTTTTGAAGATTAATTTTTGTATACCTTTCAAAGTGACCAGCGATATACAATATGTTTTGAAGATTAATTTTTGTATACTTTTCAAGGTGACCAGTGATATACAGTATGTTTTGAAGATTAATTTTCGTATACCTTTCAAGGTGACCAGTGATATAGAAGCAGTACCAGTCATTAAAAATGGCAGAAAGTGATTCTTCTCCTATTGCTGAATTTTTCCAGGATCGTGGCGTTCTCATCACCGGAGCAACGGGCTTCATGGGAAAGGTAAGATTGGCTTTTTTTTTAACTTAGATGATCTTATATAAAATGTTATCATTGTTGCTAGGTTTTATAGACAATTCTATCATTCCCTCTTGATATTTTTACGTTCTACAGTTTCTGTACGCTTAATCCGAAAATGATATCCATTTTTCTCCATCGCGTACAGCTTTTTCACAAAACGTCATAACGCAATACATAAAAGAAAGAGCACAACACGTAGTTTTAAGACTAAAAGACGTAGATTTTCACACATAAAAAATCAGGATGAATGAGGATGGACATTCGTTTGACATCAATGTTCTTCCCTTTTCTTCAGTTTGTATTTTTGTTAACAAATATAATAATAAAAACTTTCATTGTGGTAAATGAAATAATAATTTGATATAAGTAAGAGTTTTTTTCTTCTTCCTGATTTGAAACAAATGAATATTATTTTCAAAATCTGTGTAGCTGAATTATGGAAAATTCGTGATTAAAACCAAAACAACTTTTTATGAAACTTAAATTCGCGGGCTTGTGTAATTAATTCGCATTTAACAGATGTCAATATTCCTATCTATTGTGACACCATTCCACTGTATGTAATCTTCTACTTAATTTTTCCTTATATTTTGAAAAATAACTAAAAAAAAAGAGCAGGAAAAAAAGCGTTGATGGCGCAAGGATGTCAACTAAAATGACGTTTATAGTAACAGGGTACTGTTTTTTCGTGGTTTCTCTATGTAGTCTGAAATACACTGCTGTCCAAAAGTTCAACAAATAGTTTGTTCCTTAACTTTTGGACACCGATATATATGGACGTGACTCACTATGCCTATGTATATATGTGTGTGTGATATGTATAAGCATATATGCATGATTTCAAAATGTAAGTGCAGACTTTTCGAGAACAAGTAACAACTTAATTGCTCAAAGGGATTACAAATATAAAATGTTGAGTCTTTATTATAAAAAGGAAAAAGTATAAGCAAGTGTTATATAAATATTACTTATTTTAAGTTTATATAAGTTATGACCATTTTCTTGCCAAAAGTTCCTTTTTTATGCAAATGATACATGACAATTTGCTTATAAGATTCTTTAAAGTCGCATTCAGGAAGATTGTTTGTCTGTTTGTTTTGAATTTCGCGCAAAGCTACACGAGCTAGCCGTCCCTAATTTAGCAGTGTAAGACTAGAGGGAAGGCAGCTAGTCATCACCACCCACCACCAACGAATAGTGGGATTGACCGTCACATTATTACGCCCCCACGGCTGAAAGGGCGAGCATGTTTGGTGTGACGGGGATTCGAACCCGCGACCCTCAGATTGCGAGTCGAGTGTTTTAACCACCTGGCCATGCCGGGCCCATTCAGGAAGAGTAAATTAGTTTGCCTTAAACGCTCAAAAACAAAATACAACATTTTTGTCGAGAAATGTCGTGTCTGTTGCATTTTGTATATGTCTAAAGTATTACACTAGCTGTTTATGAATTTAATCGTGCCTTCAGAAATCAGCCAGCCGTTTTCTAACTGAGTAACGTTTTGTATAACTTACAAGATAATTTTAATGATTTGATTACATTTTTCTAACCATATTCGTAATCTATATTCTCTTTTCTATTGTGGTCTTTCTTTTTAATAAGCGTTGATATTATAGAAATTTTAATGATCAGTAGAAGCTAGATACCACATTAATAAATAAAAATAAGCTTTAACCTCCACACCCAGAGGTTCTCTTTTACACTCTCTCATAAAATTGTCTTTAAACAAAAAGGTATACAATACACTATCTGCGATGCGTTCACTATGGGGATCGAACATAATATATATACAGTTGTCAATTTTAATTATTTTTTATCGGGTTTCACCGATTTGTTTAGGATGGACGGCGTTTCATTGAGTGCTAAAAACAAATCTAGATGTTTTATTGCAAAAATGAAAGAAAAAGTTAAAATATTATAATTTTATGTGCATAGTTGTTCCTTAACTCAAATCAACAAGGATCTTGAGTTTCACTTTTTTCCCATCTTTAAATAATCTGTGCCAAAAGTTTAAAGCTTGCTCTGTCCTAACTAAGGTGTATACGAGTTATGTTACCTAAATAATCATAACAAAATATATCTGATGGAACTCGCAATTTAAAAAAGTTTAGTAAAACCAGTAATTGTTATTCCCAAAAAGATATCTTGAAAGCAGCTCTGAACGCAAGGTGACTGCAAATTCTCTACCGAATATTAATTCTCTTTAGTATAAATACAGGATCATTTATGTGGGCTCACAGTATAGTAACAATTACTAATACTTTCCATATATTCTCATTAATTAAAACACAAGCAGGGGCGTAGAATTTGTATCCCCCCGACACAACAAAATTTGTCTAAGGGACAACCAGTTTTACCGCTATACTTTGCCCATTGGACAAGTAGTTTTTGGTTTGTTTTATTGTTAGAAAAAACACTCCGAGGAGATTTCTAGTGAGCTACGCATGTTTCTAAAAATTTTTAACTGCAGAAGTCTAGCACGTACTTAAGAACATTTAAAAATATGTACCTCTACACCGTAAACCAAAACTATAAACATTAATATACATCTTCGTTTAATTCACATTCCCCAGTTATTACAAAGTAACAAACATATTTAAAGTGCCTACAGTACTATGGGAGCCTAATAACGTTTGACTGCCAGTTCTACCATGAACCACGATAGTGATTCACAATAGGGTATCGCACAAGAATTTGCTCAAACTCGTATAAAACATTCGGGCAAAAACCACCTTAAAAAGCAAACTTATTCATGAAACAACACTCAAAACCTTCATTTTCAATAGCTAAGATCACCCAAACATTGATAATAAGCAAAATAAATGATTTCAAGATTGTTAGACAAAATCAACATTTCTCGATTTGTTCATACAGCGAAATCGGCTAGACAGATATACTAAATAAAACGCTGCAAATTCAATGACCTATTTAAAAATTGATTATTTTTTATTGGAAGTTCATTTACGTGGTTATAAATAAAAATATAATAGGTGCAATGTTGTTCTGAGCGGCTGCTTTTGTATACGAAATTTCAGGCACTAAGCCACCTGGTTCAGTAAATAATTACTTTAAAAGACACGAAGCTTTATTGAAAGCGATGTTTTAGATGTACGTGTTTCATTTGAAAAGGCTGCTTTTCTACTGGTAAACTTTTATATGTGCTTAATGAGGGTTGTGTCTTAATCTGGGCATATATTTGCCCATTGCTGTGCATTAAAAGAACAACATACAAGATAATTAAAAACTGAGAATTTAAAATCTACAAATAGGGATTACAAAAAAAGTAACCTGACAAGGCTGGATATCTACTGCTGACAGTTTGCTCAAGCTACAAATCCCTATTATGACTCCACTATAAAATTATTGCAAGTGATATCTACTGTAGTGTGGGATCACAGAGGAATTTTGCAAAGCACGGATAGAGTAGTTTTGAACTTTATTCGACCTCCTTAATTTTTTCATGCTGCGAAATTTTCTAAGTCATTCATTTTCAGCCAGCAAAACCTCCGGTGTTTTCCTAGCGTTCACGTTAGTTGGAAACTACAACTCGTGCATTTTCTAGCGCATTAATTGTTCATCGCCATTGTTCATCGTTACTCGAGTTTGCTGTCTCTAAGTGAATTTCCACAACTACATTTCAGCAAGTTTTTAACACTGGACGATTACCATAGTTGATTTCCCTACTCAGACGACGATGGTGATTCTTTCTACTGTTTCTTTTACGTAGCTGAAATTGTGAGTGCGTATTCAGTATTTATTACCACTGCATATAGCACTATTTCATATAGCTATTGCTATTTTCAAATAGTTGGTTTTAAGGTAGCGGTTGTTTTGTGTTGTCGATAATTGGCGACTTACGTTAAGTGTGTCACTGTTGTGTATTTTGCATGCATTATTTGTGTCGTCTTATTCTAGCAAACACTTGTATACAGCAGAACATACATGTGTGTCATGTAGACCTAAAAAGGTAAGCATGTTACTGGATTTCTTTAAATTGTATTAATCCGTGTTGTATTATCTTAGAAGAAAAATTATTCCGTTCTGGTGAGTTTGCTTTGTTGCTGCACTTCTTTTGTTAGATTACACTGTGACACTGATGGAAGCCAGTCATTAAACCTGTGATAAAATAATCTTTGCCTACAAGATGGTTTATTTTACTTGCTGTAACTGCATACCAGTAAATGTGTTTATTCTTTATTGTACATATGTTATTTATTTTGAATAAGTTCAGTGAAGTGGTTAGGTGGAAAAAAAGCCAATGCAGCAGTAAACTGTTGAAAAACATGTAACATTCAACTGAACGCATATGCACTTATGTAGCTTAAAATTTATTTCCCATAAATGGACATAATAAAACTTAAGAAACAAGATTAGTAAAAATTGTTAATTTAAAAAGGGGATCAGGGATCGTCAAAAAAGTAAAGAAACAAGTTGACTGAAAAATCAAAGATGATAAGTACAGTAGACATGGAGTCAAAATAGGGATTTGTAGCTTGAGAAATAATGTAGACACTATT